AAAACAAAGCATTTTAGTACGGGACGTGTAAAATTAAGTGACAGAATGCAACCCATATTGTACCTCAGTAACGGTAGCGTATAAGAGTTTCTGACGGTACGATGAGCTGTTGTTCCACACTGCCACGCACATGACAGCAACTTTACGACAAATGGATGAAAATGCAAAACAAAAACGCTTATCAATAGGTGACGACTTGTCTTGGAGTCACGTTCTGACGCATACTATACTTATCTCCGAAACCCACATGTTGAAAAGTGATAATACTGATGTCAATTGCCTGCTCATTTCCTCAGCTACTGTGCACACGTCTGATGAATAGCAACACTGAACTCGCAAAGAAAACAAATCATCAAAGACCTTCGAAGGACAAATGATATAACACAGCACGGGACAAGAAAACTGTGAAAGACGCGTAGAGAGACTACAAGATCTGTAGATAAATTACGGGTTCCATACTCACTTTTTATTACGCGTTTCCCGGTTGCAACCCCTCGTGGCCCTCCTTAAACGTATACAAACTTTTCCAGATTATATAACATTTTGTAGCAAAGAAGACTTGTAGGATTTCTTTAATTATTGGCAATCAATTATAATTAATTCTTTCTTCATTTAGGGGCAACGTTTCAGGGCATGGTTAGTCGTATCATTAGTCAGTTATCTGTACAACAATAAGTATATTACTAACGTTAATTAAAACTAATAAAATTAAATTTATTTTATCAAAATAACGCATTTACGAACCCTAAAACATTCGAACCTTACATAATTAAAAAAAAAGAAACGAACATTTTTCACATTTAATTAATTTTACTGTTTCGGCAATATCATACAAGATTATTATTTGTCCAGTTCGAATTCCAATGCCTTATGTTAATAATATACTTATTATTGTGCACCCAGCAGCCTGATGATGAGGCTAATTATGGAATAAAACTTTGCAACGAAATGAAATAAATAAGTAATAATAATAACAATACCAATAACAATACCTATATTAATGCCTATACCTATATCAATACCAATACATATATCAATACCAATACGTATATCAATACCAATACCTATATCAATACCAATACCAATATCAATACCAATACCTATATCAATACCAGTACCTATATCAATAACAATAACAACAATAATAATGAAAGGAACCCCACAATCTACCAGTATAGAATAAGCGTGAATAGTGTCAATGAAGCAGGTTTGTTTGAAGTGGGTGGTCGCGGCGCGCGCGCGCAGGGCTCGGACGCGCCGCTGGTGCTGCCCAAGCACACGTCCAAGGGCGCGCTGCGCTTCCGACCGCGCGCACCCAAGGCGCTGGCGGCGCAGCCCAGCACCCCGTCCGTGGACAGCGCGCACTCCCACGCCCACCCGCACGCCCGCACGCGCTCGCTCACCTTCGCCCGATGACCGCAATAAAGACGAGGTTTTTTGCTTTCTATTTGCGCCTGGCGTTTTCTTTTTCTTTCTTTCTTTCTTTCTTTCTTTTCGAGCATCTTAGGTGGCTCGGTGTATTAGTTTATTTCATTGCCTCTGACCTGTCGCGAACCTATTCCTGTGGCGAACTGAGTCGGG